CTCTTTCTCTCAATTATCCTGGTTTTTTTTCTCTGTTACTTTCCCATCTCCTATTCTGCTCTCTCCACCTATATTTACTTCTTTCTCACCTGCCTTTTTTCCTATCTTGGACCTTGTTTGGCCTAGGTTCCTGCTTCTATATATCAAAGTTGCCTCTAGCAAATTTGAGCTGGGCTTATGAGATAAAATGGTCAAGAAGGAATATGATCTTAGTGCCGTGTTAGGCTCAGGGGAAGCACTTCATAAAGATTGTTAAACAAGAATTCAGAATTGGAATAGCCAGATTCCAATATTAATTGAAAACTTTAGCTATTGAAAATAACAACTCTTTGCATCCTGGATTTTTCAAGGTCATCTTTCTCTATAGGCACTGTAGTGAGTGAATTTCTTTTTTCCTCAAGCCAAACACTGAGGTGATTTCAGGCCTCTATAATGCTGGCAAATTTCCCCCTCCACTCCCTTCTTTGTTATATAGAAAGTGTCTTTGACCTGTTCCCCGGGAGTTGGGAGGAAAAAGTGACATAAGTAGGAATCACTTCAAAGAAATGCCTTTCACATTTTAAAATATAATTATGTAAAAACCCATTACTGGCTATATCAGGGGACAAAGAGCACTTTTATCCCATATCCTCTTCATTGAAAACATTCAGCATCTACTTGTCTATAGTGTATTACAGAACATTCGAAAGACAGTTTTTGTCCAATGGCAGCTGTTAATCTAATTGGTTAGTAAGATTTCTGTATGTACCTTTGAACAATGTTGGCCTAGTTACCCAACAGAGATGATTAAGTTAGTGGCTACCACATGTACACGTGGTGGCAGGCAGAGGGCATATAACTAGCTAGGTGAGAATACATTTCACTTGTGTTCACCAGAAAAGGCTTTATTGACCAGGGCCATATTAGGAGCTGAAGGCATGAAAATAAGTGATGGAATGGGCAGTGGGAGAGAGAGAAGGAGGACATCCCAGGCCAAGCATGTCAAACTCCCGACCCACCACGACTATCTTTGTGGCCCAGTCAATATAACAGTATGTAAGAAATGTTCTAATAAAAATTTCATAACTTAATTTTTACAATATTCAGTTATACATAATTATTAATAACTAGAGGTCTGGTGCATGGATTTGTGCACATTGAAAGGAAATTAATTAGAAGGTGGCTGGTGGGGCTGGACTGGGTGAGACAGTCCAGACACGCACTGGAGCCAACTTCCTGTGGTCCCTCCCCAGCTGGCAGCACCAGAGATGGCACTGGGGCTTGAAGGGTGTCTGCGGAATGAGTCAGTTCCCTCCAGCAGGTGGAGTTCCTCAGCCTGGCCTGCAGGGATCGGGCTGAAACCGAATGTCTGACATCCCCCGAGGGGTCCTGGAGTGCGAGAGTGCACTCTGCAAAGTTGCTGTTGCTCAGCAGCTCCAGCGTTGAGCATCTGACCCCTGGTGGTCAATGTGTGTCATACCTACCGGCTGGGTGGCAGTCTGCCGGTCACATAGCCTTATATATATAGTAGAGGCCCGGTGCACAAAAATTTGTGCACTCGGGGAGGAGGGGGGTTCCCTCAGCCCCACTTGTGCCCTCTCTCAGTCTGGGACCCCTCAGGAGATAATGACCTGCTGGCTTAGGCCTGTTCCTGGGTGGCAGAGGGCAGGCCCAATCCCTAGGTGCAGCCCCTGGTCGGGCTCAGAGCAGGGCTGATTGGGGAGTTGGGGCGCCGCCCCCTGTCATGCACAGAGCAGGGCAGATCGGGAGGTTGTGATGCCACCCTCAGTCACGCTCAGGGTAGGGCCGATTGGGGGGGTGGGGCACCGCCTCCTGTCACACTCAAGGCAGGGTCGATGGGGAGGTTGTGGCACCACCCCCTGTCATGCACAGAGCAGGGCCAATCAGGGGGTTGGGGCGCTGCCCCCTGTCACTCACAGAGCAGGGCCCATCAGGGGAGTTGGGGCTCCGTACCCTGTCACGCACAGAGCAGGGCCGATCAGAGGGTTGAGGAGCTCCCCCCTGTCACACACAGAGCAGGGCGGATCAGGGGGTTGGGGTGCTGCACCCTGTCACACTCAGGGCAGGGCCGATAGGGTGGTTATGGCTCTACCCCGTCACACACGGAGCAGGGCCCGTGGGGGGCAGTTGGGGCGCCACCTTCTATCACCCACAGAGCAGGGCCGATCAGAGGGTTGGGGCACCACCACTGTCACATTCAGGGCAGGGCCGATGGGGAGGTTATGGCTCTACCCCATCACACACAGAGCAGGGGCCATGGGGGGGGTTGGGGCGCCGCACCCTGTCACACACAGAGCCGCAGGGCGATCAGGGGGTTTGGGCGCTGCCCCCTGTCACGCTGATCCTGGTGCTGGGAGGCCTCTCGGCTCCGCTGATCCCGGTGCTGGGAGGCATATTACCCTTTTACTATATAGGATAGAGGCTGGGTGCATGGGTGGGGGCCGGCTGGTTTGCCCTGAAGGGTGTCCTGGATCAGGGTGGGGGGTCCCCACTGGGGTGCCTGGCCAGCCTGGGTGAGGGGATGATGGCTGTTTGCAGCTGGTCACACACCCTTCAGGGTGGGGGTCCCCACTGGGGTGCCTGGCCAGCCTGGGTGAGGGGCTGAGGGCTGCTTTCAGGCTGGCGGGTGACTGAAGCTCCCATCCACTCCTTTTTTTCTTTTCTTTTTATTCTGGGCCAGCTTTAGCTCTGAGGCTTGGCTCCAGCTCTAAGGCCTCGGCTGCTGAAAGCAGGTATCTGGTTTGTTTGGGTTCTATAATCGAAACACTGTTTCAACTCCCCCTCTGAGATCCCGGCTGGCTGAAAGCAGGTTTCTGGGGTTTTGTTTAGCTTCTATATTTGTAACAATGTTTCAAACTGCAAGCTCAGAGGCCGGCAGCGGCAGGCGGGGAACGTTGGAGTCCTCCATCACTGAAGCAAGCAAGCCTCACATTCGCTTCAAGCTGCCTGGCTGCCGGCCACCATCTTGGCTGGCAGTTAATTTTCATATCGCCCCGATTAGCCAATGGGAAGGGTAGCGGAGGTACAGCTAATTACCATGTTTCTCTTTTATTAGATAGGATAGATGAACTACAACGTTCACTAATGACTGATTACTATAATCATGTTACATTCATTTCCCTTATGCTCCTTACGTGCCTTATGTGCAGGCGCACCATTTCTTTCCACTAATACTAGCAGCGAATATTTTAACAGCCAGTTTCCTTGTCATTAGTCTTTTACTGACTTGTTTGGTGTGTGCAACAGGAAATATTTCTCTTTTGGAGAACAAGATAAACAGGTTTAGTTGCGTTACGCATATTAATTTGTGCAGTTATTCAGTGTCTGGTAAGTTAATAATTCAAGAAAAAATATTAATTTTTATTAAAATGTTCTATTATTTTATGTTAACGATTATTCATTTATTACAGCCCTTTGTATTCAGCATGTCTCTATCCAAATAAACCTACGTTTCTATGAAAATTGAAGCTTTTGTTTTTTTGCAGCCCACATAAACTTAAACCTTGTTTATTTGGCCCATGTTAGCCTTTGAGTTTGACATGCTTGTCCTAGGCTTAGGGTTTAGCATGAGAGAAGTTTGGAAAGGGGGTTACAATCTGCAGGAGGCAAATGCTGATATCATTATGTGAATTATCTCTCTAGAAAAATAATGTGATACAGTGAAGAATTTTTTAGCTAGAATCTTTAATTAACAGGGATCCCTGCTCTCAGAACTCATGTTTTAGAAGAAAAACATGAATCAACAGTTTAATTCAGGAATTTAGTCTCAAGTATTTTAAGAGCATGTCCTGGAGGTCCCATATCCACCTGTGTAACAGACCTAATACTCATACAATGAAGTTTAGCAATATTGGAGAGTAGACAATACCATTTAGAGTAGCTTAATCATTTGGTTAGGACTTAAAAAAACTTCAATTTTGGTTTTGACTATATCATTTGTACATTTTTCCAATTGTGACATTACTGTAATTCTAAATTACATAGGCCTCAGTTTCTGCTTCTGTGATATGGTGAACATTTCTTGTCTTATGTACCTTATGCTGTTCTTGTGGGAATCAAATAAAACATGCATACAGTGGGGCCTTGACTTACGAGTGTCCTGACTAACGAGTTTTTCAAGATACGAACCATCTCTTGGCTGGTTTTTGCTTTGAGTTGCGAGCTAAAATTCGGGTTACGAGCCAGCTTCAGATTCCCCACCGCTACTTGGCGCAGCGAACGTCACAGTGAACGCCACAACATCAGCCCAGCATCATGTGCCTCACTCATTCACTTTTTGATTTGACATACGAGTAATTTGAGTTACGAGCTCCATCACGGAACGAATTAAACGCGTAAGTCAAGGCCCCGCTGTATGTATGTGTGTGTGTGTGTGTATATATATATATATATATATATATATATATACAATTTCTTGATTTCAGAGAGGAAGAGAGAAAGAGAGAGAGATAGACACATCAATGATGAGAGAGAAGCGTTGATTGGCTGCCTCCTGCACACCTCCCACTGGGGATCAAGCCGCAACCCAGGCATGTGCCCTTGGCCAGAATCAAGCCTGGGACCCTTCAGTCCGCAGGCTGATGCTCTATCCACTGAGCCAAGCTGGCTAAGGCAAAACGTGCTTTTGAAAGATAAAAAGTGCCATATAAATTTCAAAGTATTAGTGTTGTTTTAACTATCAGAGTCTCTCCTCCCCCTCCTAGATCCCCTCTCCCCATAGCTCTTTCTGTCATGTAACCACAATATCTCATTCCTGTTCATTGCAATGCTACAGTACTCCACTTATTGTATTCAATATGATCCTTCCGCTCCTGCAATGTACTCTTAGAGTACTTTTTAACATATGGTAGGTGCTCAAAAGGAACTTGTCAAACCAAATCGAATGTTATTTCCAATCTCGGTAGACAGAATATCTTTTACTCCATAGAAATAATGGATGGAAGGCAGATTTGATGATTCATAACATCTTGTCTCTCATAGGAGGAAAACATTTTCTACCAGTCCCTAGTGTGAGAGTGGTGAACCCTGCAGCCAGCAGGCCTCCTGAAATAAATCAATGGGTGACGGAAGATTCATTGACTTCCAATTCCAAGTTTTAAATTCAAGCCTCAGACCCAGGTTGGGCAATGCTACTGCCAATAATACTTGTATTGTTGATGATTCCTTCAAGTATAATCTGAATGGTGCTGTCTACAGTGTTGTATTCATCCTGGGTCTGATAACCAACAGTGCCTCTCTGTTTGTCTTCTGCTTCCGCATGAAAATGAGAAGTGAGACAGCTATTTTTATCACCAATCTGGCCCTCTCTGATTTGCTCTTTGTCTGCACTCTACCTTTCAAAATATTTTACAATTTCAATCGCCACTGGCCTTTTGGTGACACTCTCTGCAAGATCTCTGGGACTGCATTCCTTACCAACATCTATGGGAGCATGCTCTTCCTCACCTGTATTAGCGTGGACCGTTTCCTGGCCATTGTCTATCCCTTCAGATCTCGTACCATTAGGACCAGGAGGAATTCTGCCATTGTGTGTGCTGGAGTCTGGATCCTGGTCCTCAGTGGTGGTATTTCAGCCTCCTTGTTCTCAACCACTAATGTCAACAATACAACCACCACCTGCTTTGAGGGCTTCTCCAAACGTGTTTGGAAGACTTATTTGTCCAAGATCACCATATTTATTGAAGTTGTTGGCTTCATCATTCCTCTGATATTGAATGTCTCTTGCTCTTCTGTGGTGCTGAGAACCCTCCGCAAGCCTGCTACGCTGTCTCAAATTGGGACCAATAAGAAAAAGGTGTTGAAGATGATCACAGTGCATATGGCAATCTTTGTGGTCTGTTTTGTACCCTACAATTCTGTTCTCTTCCTGTATGCCCTGGTGCGCTCTCAAGCCATTACCAATTGCTTTTTGGAAAGATTTGCTAAAATTATGTACCCAATCACCTTGTGCCTTGCAACTCTTAACTGTTGCTTTGACCCTTTCATCTATTACTTCACCCTTGAGTCCTTTCAGAAGTCCTTCTACATAAATACCCATATCAGGATGGAGTCCATGTTTAAGACTGAAATACCTCTAACCACAAAGCCTTCCCTTCCAGCTATTCAAGAGGAAGTCAGTGATCAAACAACAAATAATGGTGGTGAGTTAATGCTAGAATCCACCTTCTAGGTACGAGAATTGTCTTTAGATCCAAATATGATTTCTCCTATGATTATTTTCCTGTTATGAGTAAGATGAAAGATTTGAAGCTAATGATACTGAGAATAGATTAATGTACTAAATACAGCCAAATACATTTATTTGAGCATTTACTGTATATATTCTGATTTGTTCAATAATTATAGGTCAGGTCTAATTACTACCACCAAAAGTAATTGCCAAACTCTTCTGCTGGGTTGAAATTTTATTATATCACATTATATAACTGGCAAGTGGACTTGACTTTAGTGATATGCGTATTACTTTCAAACTTTTAAAAACATACTCCTGAAAATATTTGGTAATTCGATTGGGCCTATAAATATAGAACAAATTCAGGGATTATTTAAAACAGACATTTTGTGTTACTACTGATATATTTTTGTTTGAATTGTTTTTCTTTGAATTTCCATCAAGTTTATTTTGGCACAAGAACATATTTTAGCCTAAAATAATTAATAAGAAATGTATCCAATTTAAAAGGGCTGGCAAATTTATTTATATATGTTGAAAGCAGAAACATAAATTGTGTTTGCATGAGCATGGATGGGAAGAAACAGAAAATTAACTGGATTTACACATTTTCAGTCATCAACAGTGTTGGTTTTTTTAAATTCTTTTTTTTTTTTACTACATTAAGAATTTCATATGAAACTTCAAATCCAGAAAGCTGATAAATATGTGCCCAAGACAGGTATACAATGGAAAATCATATAAAACAACAAATGTCCATTAAAAATCTAAGTAACACCAATAGTTTTTTCTTAGAATTTCCGATTTCTAACATTACTTTTGAGGGACTGGTTTCTATAAGATATTCTCCATATGAAATTTTGGAGCACAGTGCAGCCAGAAAGCTGTTTCACTTGTGTCTATGGTGGAGCAAATTGGAAAAAAATAACAAAGTAATAATAACAAATAAAACAATAAAACCAACAAAAAGCTTTCTTAAAATCTGCATTAATAATTTAGGGGATGGGTGGGTAGGAGAGATTTGTAACTTTAAATTGCTTTTTCCCCCCCAAATTTTGGAACATAGTGTAGTCAGACCTGCTGAATTTGTGCCCAGGGTGGGAGCATATTGAATAAAATATATAAACTAAACCAAACCAATACAAACAAGAAAACAGAAAAATTATAAAACAATAAGAACAGCAAAACATATTTCTAATACTTGCATCAATGTTTTATTTATTTGTTGAAGATCTTTAAATTTAAAATTTGTATGAAATTTTGGAGTAATATGTATATATATATATATATATATATATACACACACATATACATATATGCTGATTTGTTCAATAATTATAAGTCAGGTCTAAGTACTATAACCAAAAGTAATGGCCAAACTCTTCTGCTGGGTAGAATTCTGAATTTGTGACCAAGTGAATAGTGAATTTGAAAAAATAAAAAACCAAAACAACCCCAAATAAAGGGGGAAAAGCACGAATAATTTAGAGCTTGTTTTTTTTTTTTTTTCTAGCGTTAGAAAAACTTGTCAAATGCTATAACTTTAATATGATGCTTTGCATCAAAATGCAGCTAGGCACCCAGTTCAGGAGCAATTAAAGTCATTATTTAAAAAAAAAGAGGAAACATTTTTTGTAACTCACTAAAACAGCAAAAGTAATAAGAAAACCCTTAAAAACTCTACCATTTATTGGATGAACTGTAAATTTAAGAATATATTAAGACTTGTAAAGAAAACTTCTGAGCACAATATAGCTTGAAAGATGATATATTGTGCTTATGCTAGGAGCAATGGAAATAAATACCCCAGATATAAACTACACACACACACACACACACACACTTAAAATACTGCAAAAATAAATATTCTGAAAATGGACATTAATCAATTTTTAAAATACCTGGATGATATAGCAATTTTAAAATGTTAAGGCTGCCGGTAACAAGGCACGTTAGCTGCTTAACTTGTGCCAGAAAGTGATTAAAATATTAAAAACCATAAAACAATAACCAAAAAGTAAAATTTTTAAAGAAATAAGCAAATTTTTAAATCTCTCCTTATCCTTTGTTTCCCTTTCTGATTGTGCATAGAATTAAAAATACTAAGATTTTAAGTACACATTTCTAAGAATTATATAACTTTAAAAACTGCTAAAGCTGTTCGTGGATTAGGAACTAATAGAAAAATAAATGCTAAAATAATGGAACAGTAATAAAAATGAATTCTCAAAAGTCACATTACTTTTTCCTCATTATCTAAAGTACTAAAAATAATAATGCATTATATTTTCTTGTGAAAACAGGTAATAGATAGAATATATGACATTAGGCTCAGTTAGAGTAAATTAGGTTAAGTTAGGTTAAGCTCAGTTGTTAGGTTATATTTTAAGATCAAATTAGTAATCACAGTATGAATATTCTTTTTGTGTGTTTTTTTGGTGTTTTTTCTTTTCAATTTCTTGTAAGTATAAATTATATGTGAACTTTTGTTTATGCCTTTGGCTCTCAAAATTATGAAACTGTAGGGTGATGATACCAAAACATTTAATGGGATATGTTAACCAAGTTGATGTAAAATATAACAGTAAACCTATTTTGTAATTTCTATATTTAGTTTTGTTTAATTTTCCATATTTCAATTTATTTTTATTAATTTCCATTTTATAGTTAATATAACTTGGAATAATAAAACATTTGTCATATGAGCAACGTAATCAATAAAATTTAATGTGTAACTAAATGTAAAATTGACTTTTATTTTTATTTTGCATTTTTTTTAAAAAAGCAATCAATCAGTTATAATTGCAGTTTGGATTTTAATTGCTTATTAAATATAATACAATACATTTGGATTATCTATCAGTTATACTTTGGTCTAGCGATTGAACTTATTCAACTGTGTCTTCATTTGTGGGCACCCAGAGGTTTCTTTCCATTATCTTTCCTTCATTGTTTAAGAAAGGACTTTTTAAAGTATATTTGATCACAAATCAATTCCTATACTTTTGTTGAGGCTGTCTGGAGAAAAATGCAGAATTGCAAATAAAAAATCCCTGGGTGACTTTTCAGCAATCAAGCTGAAAGGCTAAATACCACTTTCTCTGATTTTTCTGACTTGGTTTTGATATATTTGGAGTTTCTTGAAAAGCTGACTTTTGAATCTGATTTCTTGGATTTGATAAAATATCCTAGGACAACTGGGAGGCCTGAGGAATGTTAGAGCAAATAGACTATCTGATAACAATGAGATGCTTTAGGAGCTAGGTGACTGACTGGTCAATAACTAGAACAGGTGGTGGTCCCAGGGTGGCAGCACAGGGAATTCCTGGTTATTGTTCCCATGCCTTCTATCTCCCAGGGAAAACAATATTAGCATCTCTTAAATTACATTGCATATTGGTTCTCCATTAGATAGCAAATGCTGCTTTTTTTCCTGACATGACAAGGATGATCAGTCCTAGGCAATGTTTAAAATTATAGGAACTTTGTCATTAGTGACCTTCTAGGCCAGGACCTCAAAAACAAAACAAAATAAAACAAAAACCACAAAAGGACACAGTTGCCATTTGTTTCACATCCCTATTGACCTCCTTCCACTTCTGACTCCACCCCCAGATTCCTGCACCTTATATTTGCTATGGTTTCCCAAACTTTCTCTTTCCTGCAGCCCTTTCCCACATCACTATCTCCTGCAGAAATATTGCTTCTCAATGGCCCAAAAAATACATAAACCTTTGTCAAGACAGTGACAGGTTGAATAGATTTACACTAAGGTGTGAATGATTGATCCATCCACTCATTGCTTTTAATCCCTCCATTGGTGTTTACATCTTAGAAAAGGAGTAAATTCTAGTTAATTCAATTGACTGAAGCAGGGTTAGGATGGGGAGAGATGACTGTTTTAGTGCATCATAAATCATCTCTTGAGCCTCAGCCTGCCTCACATCCTGGTAAAGCCTCTGTAATGCAACTCTCTTGTTCTGCTCTCTTACCATTACCCTGCATGATTCTATAGCCTACTCTTCCTTTCTCCAGACAGCCCTCTTTTCCAAAACTGGCCATGGTGACTGAGAACCTGTATTCTCATTTTATATAGTCTTGAATTCTTTTGCCCAAATATCTCCTAGTTCTTGTGGATTTAGTGAAATGGTTCTTAAAATAAAAAGCATTTTGTTTCAATAAGGAAACTAAAGCCGTCTACTGAGTAAAAATTTCCTCTATATTCAGGTTTTTAAAGACTTATGTATTTCCCACTGCTTTGCTTCTTTCCCTCTCTGAGTATCTCAATGAACTCTTCTCTCGCAAACATCCACAGAAGCACTGAATCATAGAACATAGAGGAATAGAGCCAGTATAAGGTCTGTGAGGAAACCCAGACAGGCTCTGAGACTGGGGAGACTTGTGTGGCCATGACAACTAGTTTTTTTTCGTACTTATCATGGAGGAGCTCCAGCCATATAGATGAGAAGCTTGTTACAAAGAGCCCTCACTCCTTCCATTGCTAAACTGCTCAGCTTGTTACCTTTCTCATTCATGTTGGTGGTACCAAGGCCAGGTCACATTCCTCATTTGGGATCCTGGGACTTCTGAACTAACCCCAGTTCAAAGCAATTTGTGATTTTTGGGAAACTAGAGGCCTGATGCATGAAATTTGTGCAAGAGTAGGCCTTCCTTCCCCCAGCTGCCAGCACCAGCTTCCCTCTGGCACCCAGGACCCGGGCTTCCCTTGCAGCCCTGGCTTCATCTGGAAGGTTGTCTGAAAGGACGTCTGTTCTAATTACACTTGATCTTAGCCAAAAGGCCGAGAAGCGATGATGTCTGGCCTAATTAGCATATTACACTTTTATTGTTATAGATAATTTGACTAGGGGAATACTTAGGAACTCAGAATTTATTTATTTACTTATTCAACAAATTTGTTGGACATCAACTATGTGCCAGACACTCTTCTAGGCACTAAGGATGCAGTGGTGGTAACAAGAGACAAAATTCTGTTT